ATGTGTCTGTGAGGATGAACGCATCCCCGACCTCCTTGTCCCTCCACACCCCCCGGCACTGCTGGTCTCACTTTGCAGCCCAGGCTAACGGGAGGCAAAGGGAGAAGGATCCATGGAGCAAGTTCATGGCTCTGCTTTCGCTTTGTCTGCCCACCCTGCTCCCGTTTGGCTGTCAGCTCAGATCTCTGAAGGCCGTTTGTGCTCCCGCCTGTCCCCCATCCTCAAACCACCTCTGGGTTCTCCATCCTTCCCTCTCTCTTTGGCTTTTGATGTTTCAGACAGGCATATGGTGGCCAGCCTGTCTCCCTTGTTCCTTGTCTGTCACCCACTATTCACCACGGCAGCAGTTCCTGAGGGACATTTGGGTTTAAAGGGTGAGATGTCCCCTCCTTTTCCCCACTCCTACATCTATCAAGCTTCCTTGCTGTAAAGCTGCTCAGACTGGTTTGTCATCTGTGTATCGTTAGCGAGGAGATGTTGGGTTGGGGATTTTTTTACATGACTGCGTTTGAAGAACTTTCTCTGCTTTGGTGCCACACGAAGGGAGGATGGAAGGAGAAGTGAGGCAGCAGCATCTTCCTCTTCTGTGAGGAAAGCTGCCTTGGTGTGCAGCCCTTCTATGTGGGCTGGTGGTGTGTGTGCCTTGGGGAGGAGGAGAAGGACACCCCACACATATCCCCTTGCAGCTCCTTCTCGTCGGGGACTCGGGACAGGAGGTTCAGTTTGACTTGATGGCTTTCCATTAAGCTGTAGAGAAGAAACACAGGTACCCGGCAGCCATCAGGTCTTTTTATCCTTCTCTCCAGAGACCCAGCCCCTGCAGGAAGACTCTTGTAGTAGGAATAGTCTTTTAAGCTCGAGGTTTTTCCATTCCAGTTTTGATACTGGTAAAACCCCCCAGGTTCTGCTACTTTGCAAGCAGAGAAAGGGGGAAAAGAAAAGTCTCTTGTGACCACTGGACCGAGGTAGAATTCAGACTTGGCCTTTCCAAGGCTGGCTTGTTTTCAGCTCTCCATGAGAGAAGATGTTGAAGTGATAGAACATCTCCTGGATTCAAGTGTGACATCTGGAAAATGCCTGTCTCTGATTATTCATTTAAAGCAGAGGTCCAGCAGTTTTGGCAAATGAGGGGGAACACATGAGCCCCTCAGAGCGGGCTGATGACGTTTCGCTTTCGCATGGCACCTTGTCCCTGCTTTTGGAGGCTTTCAGAGTGATTTGCAGCGCTGAAGGCTGAATCCTAACTCCATGTTTCACTGCGGGCTGGACCTGGCACGGCAGAGCTGTGGCAATCCTACGCAGCACGTAGGAATTTGTTTCAGCTTTGTATCATCACCACCTTGCCTGCGATAGCGCTGGCTTGCTCCTTCTCAGAGGGGAGAGAGGGTTGTTGTGCGCTCAGCGTGGGCTGGAGTGACAAGTGCTGCAGTGACTGGGGGTGCATAGGTGGAGAGCGCAGCGGGGAGGGGGGAGAATCAACGTCTGGAGCTCAGAGGCTTGGGCAATTTTAGAATCCACAATTTAGCTTTGATTCTGGCTGATTTTCCAAGTGAGTAGCAAAATGGAATGGGTTGTGTGGTAGGGATTCGGGTTTGGTTTCTGTGTCTCTCGCTGAGTTTGTCGTAGGCAGCTCAGCGTTGCGGTGAGCTCCGTTCACAGAGCAGCTCAGCATCCCCATCACCACACGCTGAGTCGATGGAGCTCCCCAAAACCGGCTGCTGAGCAATGACTTCAAGCAGGCTATTTTATTTTGGAGCACCGTTCTTTTCTTCAAGACAGAAATAGAACCTTATTTTCCTCCTCAGCTGTGCTCTCATCATCCTGCGTGCACTCATTTAAATGTATATGTGACATTAAGGATTATTAGGGGCTTTTATTTTAGGAAATGAACTTGCATCGATAAAGTGTTCTTAAAAGCCCTGGATGGTTTTGACTGTACCTTCAGAATTGACTTCCGCAACCTCTTCAGATATTGAACTGAGGAGGAGAGAGGAAGGAAGTCAGGTTGCTGGCAGAGTGAGCATTTATATTTTGGCCCGAAGCAAGGTTTTGGGTTTGCCTTTCTCAGACGATTCCCTGGTGCCATTACCTCCAGTGGGACTTGCTTTAGATAACCTTTAGCGGTAACATTGCAAAGACGACTGACCTCTAAATATAGATTTGGATATTTATAAAGCTGATGCTTTGTACACGCAGCATTCGGGGGGACATAAACAGCTCCAGCGAATTGTATTTACCTCCAGCATGGAAACAAATGCTTGATTGCACCACATGAGCTTGTTCAGTGGCTTTTATTTATACACTGCTGGCCACACCGGGCAGGGAAGGGGGGCATGCTTCCTTTTGTCTTTCGACCCCTAAAAGACCCTGGAGACTTGTCTCTAGCTGCCATTTGCCCTCTTCTGGAGCTCTGTGGTAGGCTCTTTCCACCTTATTTTATAGACTGGGAGTATGTACATATAAATACACACGTTTCAGAGTCACATGCTCTGCTTTTCTCAAGAATAACAGACGGCAACTTTATGATCTGAGTGATTTTATTTGAACACAGCTGTGGCCTCGTGATTTCAATATTTCAATCAATTTTAAACTAACTAGATGAGAGGAAACCGTGCAGGGAAAGCAGGTTAGAGCATGGAGGGAGGATTCCCAGAGGATAGGGGCAATACAGGTTCTGCACAGGCACTTCTGGCCTCATCTTCCTGTCACAAGAAGGCTGCTGGCACCTTCCTTGGTCAGAAAGCCCATCCCAGCATCCTCTCCCCTCGTTGCAGAGGTGCTTTTGAAGGCAGTCAGACATGGATGGAAGTCAGTGGTGGGGTGTGTGGGAGAGCTGCTGCCAGCTCAGGTGGTGTTCCTTTGGCTCCAGGCTGGCTAAGACACAGCCCAGGCTCCGAGTGTGTTTGTTTCAGGCATCACCGCACCTTTGAGCATCTGGTTTGAAGTGCTTTTGGCTTCGTCAGCAGCATGAATCCCTTGTTTTTCTCAGATGTCTCATGATGAGAAGAGGGGAAGGGGGAACTGCAGGAGCAGACTGCAGACTTGGCTGCCATGGTCCTGGTCTTGACAACTGGATTGTTTTGAAATGATCACAGCTTCTGGCTGTTGGGCTGTGTCCTGTTCCAAAGGATGGCATATCTGTTGCTGTGTACGTGTGCCAGTGAGGGCCAGAGGAAAGACTTGCAGATGAAAACAGAGGTGCTACAAGCCAAGGAGGTTTCACATCCTAAAGCCAAGTTCCCACACCATTTATTTCATGGTCCTTCTCCCACCTTTTACCCCCATCTTGGGTATGTTCCTATGAATGTCCCCCATTCCTTGGTGCTGCAGTCATCTGCTAGGATTTGGGGAGTGCGATTCAGTGTTTCTAGGTGTTGTTTTCAGGTCCGCCAGCTTTTGGTGGGGATCGTTAGAAGGACTTTGCAAGGGCAAAATGCAAAAACAGTTTAAAAGTCCACTTTTCAGAAGCAAAAGAAACTTTGCAACATCACTGCATTGAAATCTCTTTGTTGGATCAAGCCCTTAATCATTTTGTGCTGTAGCTTCTTCCTATGTAAAATGGAGGTATAGACTGTTGTTTCCTAACAGGCCAAGAGGTTTCATTTCGTCTGGGATCATTAGAGAATAACAGTGATAATGCAACTATTAATTACAAACAGTGTTTATTAGAATTTGTTTTTCCTTGTGCCAATGATGAGATTTTCTTTTTTCTCTTAAAGGTCCCCCTGTGTTCATTAAGAAGCCCGTGGACCAAATTGGTGTGTCAGGAGGGGTGGCTTCCTTTGTCTGCCAAGCGACTGGAGACCCAAAGCCACGGGTCACCTGGAACAAGAAAGGGAAGAAAGTGAACTCTCAGAGGTTTGAGGTAAGAGATGTCCTTGAAATCTGTGTCTGTATCAAGAGAGAGAGACTGACACAGAGCAGCTAGTGCTCTTCTTGGGCCATTCTCAGGCCTGATAATAAAGGGAGGTTTGGAAGGGGAGGAGTTTTAACAGCAGCAGGAGTGAAATGCAAGCTCTTGGCCGTGTCAACAGCTGGGCTTGTTCCAAAGCAAGTGAGGCTTGGCTCACTTACTTTATTGAAGTTTTTTGTCTTGTTGTTTCTTTTCCCCTCCTGGGACATAATATAAAGCTGCTTTCTTCCTCCCCTAAGAAACCCCAACTAAGCTGATGGCACTTCAGCTCTGTAAATGCACCTTTCATACTCATCCATGGCTCATTATTTTAACCCTGGGACAGCCTGGAGTAACGTTATAGTTGCTGGCAACCAGACCCAAGCAATTGGCATTGTTTAGATAGAAATGAGAGTGGAGGAACAAGGACTAGGAGGTCATCCTGTGGAATTTGCTGTGGGCCTCAGCCCTGCCAGGCAGCTGTGTGCTAAGAGGAGCTTTGTGGTGTCAGCTGCCCATGCAGATGGAGGAACAAGGCGGGGGTTCATTTTTGTTTTGTTTTCACTTGCTCTGCTTCCTCCTCCTCCATCACAGTTGTGCTCTGAACACCCACCCCACACACACCATCGCCACGGCTCACCCTCCCAAAGCCTTTGAGATGTACATAGCAGGGTTGTATTGGTCAGAGACAGGGTTTGGCATGTGACAGTTCTCCTGTCGCCTTGAGGTCAGTGGAGAGACAAGTTGACCATGTCAGTTATGTGTGGGGATTGTGAGGCAGCTGCTGAAGTGTGTTTGTGAGTGTGTGTGCTTCTATAAATGCTTGTGCCTCCTTTAGAAGCAGGAACAAACCTACTCGCAAGCCAAAGAGGCTTAATGTGTGTCTCTCTTCCCCTTTATCCTGCAGACAATTGAATTTGATGAAAGCGCAGGTGCTGTTTTGAGGATCCAGCCCCTCCGCACTCCCCGGGATGAGAACATTTACGAGTGTGTTGCTCAAAACCCTCACGGGGAGGTCACTGTCCATGCCAAGCTCACCGTCCTCCGAGGTAAGAGCACGCCTGCCTGCAGTGTGTCAGTGTCACAGGGGGAAGGGAGCCTCCAGCCTCTCTGTTCCTTCCTAGGAGTGGGAAGGCTGTTAAAAAATGCATGGCCAAGGCACAAGTCCTCCTTGTTTTGGTTTGTTTGAACTGGCAGATCTGTTTTGCTGTTGCAGAGAGTCGTAAAATCGCTATGTAAGAAACAAAGCTAAAACTGGACCACTTGAGGAGGTTTCACTAGATGATGGGCTGAGGTTCCTTCCAACCTGAATTACCCTGTAACTCTATGATCTTCCCTCCCCTCCATTAAGAATTCCTTCCCCAGGTTTATAAACAGCACCAAAACCTCCCCATCATTCTGCTCAGAAACATGGCACCACTTATCCAGACACCCCAAAAAACCTTCCTTGAGGGAATCACTTCATGGGCTGAGGTTAAGATGAGTATGCATCTACGGAGACTTTTGTGCAGTTGTTAGCAATGCCAGCCTCAGGTATGTTGAGTAAGATACCTGGTTTGCCCTTCTGGGCGTCTTCCCCCTTGCCAGAGGTCCTTTGCTTCATGCACTCTCCAAGAAAACAGTTCCCCTGTTCATTTTTGTTCTGGTTCTTTTTTCACTTCTCTCCCCTGTAGAGGATGTTTGCATGGATGCCTCCTTCATGTCATCTGTTTGAAATATGCTCCCTGAACTTGATGTGGGGGAGGGACCAATATGCTGTTGCTGTGGATGCCTCTGGATGTTTGCTGTTCTTACCCCAGAGATGTGGAGCATCACTGTGTGAAGCACTCAGCTAGGCTGCTTGCTAAAACTGACTCGTTTTAGGGGAAAGGATGTGTGGGGTTCTCTGTTTGAACACAGGGCAATGCAAGTGGCCCTGGCAAGAGGGTTGTGGTCGATACCTGCCTGAGAGCTCCTGAAGGGAGCCCAGCTTGGGAACACTGGCTGTTGGTGAAGCCAGCAGCAGAAGGTGCTGTAGAAAAGCCATGGTACTTGCAGTAAGAGCCATTATTTCTGCAGCGAGCATGGCTAACAACAGGTTTAGGTGCTCCAGGCAGTGTGTGATCCTCACAAGGCCAAGTGGTAGCTCTGCATCTGTGCCAGTTGCTTTTTCTTCAGTGTTCTCTCCAAGAGCATCTCAAATCCTTTTGTTTGAACAGACACTGAGCACATCCTTCCTAGTGCAGAGTGAAATTTGTCTGCAAATCCCCAACGTAAAGCAGTAAATAAAGACCAGACGTAAAGGGCACATGGCAAAGCCCTTGACCTCCCCTGGTAGCAGGGAATATCCCTTCTGCTGCCCACCTGGCAGGTTCTGTCTTGTCAAGATGCTGGCTGCCTTTGAGCATGTGGGCTCATGGTCCAGTCATGCCTGACAGATTTGTGTAGGTGCACTTAAATCTTTGTGTAGCTCCTTTGCCTGGCGTGGCATTTAACCTTCTGTTAGCAGTACGTGGTGGGATGTATCTGTCAGGAGATTGGAACAGTGCTTGATGACAAGAGTGTGTCTAGCTGAAGTTACTGCAGAGGGCTGGGAGCCTTATTCTTCACACTTATTCCTGTATATTCCTTGGGAGCTGTGACAGTTTGAAAGAAGTGCCCTGCAATCATAACGCCAAAGTTTCTACCCCTTGAATTTAGCTACAAGCAGTGGCAAAGGAGAAGGTTGTCCTCCAGCTGTAGCCCTCAGAAATCCCTCAGATTCTCACAGCGTTTTTAAGGCACCTTCCACCAGAAGAAAGCTGCAGTCTGTAAGAAATGAGGAGCTGAGCTCAGTGCTTGTCCTTAGGGAGCAAGGTTCTTTGCACGTGTCTTTTTGCAGCTCTTCCTTCCGGTGCCAGCATCAGACACGTCAGCTGGAGAGGCAGATGACAGGACAGGAGCTGCATCTCCCCACCACCTGACTAATTACGCACTTTGCTGATCCCACCACAACATGATGACTGTGTGCTCTGCTCCCGTGTTACACAAGCACTCCTTTGCTGCTTGCCTTCTTTGGTAGCTTTGTGAATGGACTCTGCAAGAGCAGCGAAGGTGCCTGCTTCATGGAATACTGTAAGGGAGCAGTGATCAGCTGCAGGGCTCGGCCAAGATACTGGTGAAGAGCATCAGGGAAGCAGTTTATGTAGCTTGCCCTCCCATTCCCTGCTCAGCTGGAGCTATTCCATCCTTAATCTTTCCTTAGCTTTACCACAGCAAAGATTGTCTCCTCTTTATCCATGCTTTTAAGTGCTGGGAAAGTTAAAAGGGCTAAGCAAAAATCCCCTGATCTCCACAAAGTTAGCATGCTGGCATCTATTCCTCTCCTTTCCTCTCCTTCTGCATTCTCCCACTCTCCTGTTTGTCTTTTCTCTGTCTTTCCTTGCAAGGCCTCCTCCTCCTTCCCGTCTCCTCTCACTTTCAGGACTCATGCTTAGCATAAAGATGGGGGCTGCTCCACAGCTCGGAGAGGAATGTGAGCTGTCATTTGTGGAAGCTGTTCCCTTGGCGGACTGTGGAGTAGGGAAACCTGGGCCTGTGCCGTTCCATAGCGGGCAGGATGGGCTTTGCAGTCATGCTGCAGCCTGTTGGCTTTGCTGTTGTGATCACAGTTAGACATAGATGTGTGTGCCTTCATGCTGTACACATTCATGGGCAGTTACATGGGTTTCCTCAACCTCAGTGCAGAACAGTCTCATGAACAAACCAGAAAATAATACATTCTTCCCTCCTTGACGCAGCTGTTGGAGGGACTGGGAGTAAACCCCTTTTTGCTTATGTACATGACTACTCCTGGGCCAGACCCGGACAGAAATCCACATGCATTCACTTAAAAACAGGAAGCTGCAGGAGAGGAAACCTTTGGGAGCTTCTGGGAAGCACAGCTTGTGATGGACACCATTCAACTTACACAAAGTCTCTTACCAGCAGCTCCTCCGGCTTGTTTGTCCTTCCTGCTCTGCTTCTCAAGGGGTTGGAGTTTTGATAGGGCTGTGGAGACTTGCTGTTCTTTCCACAGCTGGCTAGACATTGTGCCTGCAAACCTGATTGCTGCAGAGCCCGAAGAAAAGGAAGGAAAGTGGTTTTGGGAAGCATTTTCCAGTTATTGTTGACTCCAGCTGCTGTCATTTTTCATTATAACTTAGGCATGAAGGAAGAGGGTTGGCGCAGGCACCCGCGCTCCCAGTTGGTATCATTTCTTTCAGCTCCACGCTCCCAGGAAAAATATACATATTTATTATCATTATTGCTTCCTCTGTGCAGATCATACTTTTTCTTCACTTGTTTAGGAGCCTGAGACAAAGATTCTCGTGCTGTGAAGGGTTGTCCCATGCTGGCAGCAGCTGAGGGAACAGGGGAGCTTTGCCTCAGCCTTCTGCCTGCATTGCCTCTGCTGCTGGGAGGCACGAGCTGAGGTTCCAGCAGGGGCCAGGCTGGTTTGGTGCTTTGCTCTGTTGAAGCTGATAGAGACACTTCCATGGAGGTTACCCTTTGAGAGTCAGTAGTAAATGCAGCTTGATCCCATAAAACCCAGTGCTTGGTCCAGTTAAATGTAATGGAACAAAATTCACTGTGCCCTGATCGGCCGCTCACTGCGTACTGGCTGATGCTGTCTTTTCCTGAGGAATACTGTGCTCTGGAAAATTGAGGAGAGCTATTAGACATGCAAGATCTGTGGGACTTAGTACCAGAGTATGATTCAGGCTGCTATGGACTTTGAAAACTTCTTTTTGTAGTTTTTCCCTGTTGGTGTCTTCTTAGGAAATGGTCATATATTTCTCTTACTAATTCTGGCCTGTGTTTTTCCTCACACATTTCCTACTCCAGGAGGAGATGTAGTGTGGGCATGTCTAAAGTTCTAGCCAGATCCCTGCTGTTTCACTGGGGCTTTTTGTAATGGTTGGCTTTAGATGAGCAAAAGCTAAAGCTAAATCAGTTCTAGATGCTCAGCACAAAGCATGGGGTCCCCCAGCAGCACATCTTCGAGAGCAGCCGGCCCCTTGGAAATGTGACCTCGCCACTTGATGAGTTCTTGGCAGTCTTGCTTCAGACTTGACTTGTTTTGCTTTTCTTGTAGTGACCTGAAAATCAGGCAGCGTTGGAAGCAGATTAGTTGTGTAGCTTCTGGATAATGTCAGAGTGATTTTACCTCAGATGCCTTTCTACAGAGGGTATATAGGGATACATTAGCCAGGGAAGACAGTGGATTACCTGCACTGTTAAGGGGTCCAACACACAGATCTAAGCGTGTTTTATTGTTTATGAGGCTGCAGATTTTTAATACTTTGTTAAAACATTGTTAGGCTATTTCTGTTTTCATAGTAAAACTTTCAGATCAAAGTGAATGAACTCAACAGAGCATTTACTGAGACTCCTCCATGTATTAACATTGTCTTTGGCTGTGAAGTAACAGTTAACTAAGACACAGGTACATACAGATTGATGGAAATAACTTGTAATTTCCCAAGGCACATAATGTCAGGATGCCTGTTGGGGAGGGGGCAGCTGTGAGTGTTCATAAACTTCATGAGAAGAACAGGAATAAACTCCAGGAGTGCTGGATTTTGATCTTGATTCAGCTTAAAACTCCTGTCACTCAAGCTGCTTCATCTCTGTGTTCTTGGTTCTTCCACCCTGAAGCAAGGCTAGTTGACTGCTCAGAGACCTGACAGCATCCATGAGCTGGGCCACATGTCTTCAGAGAAGAGCAAAAACTGACTCCTCTTCCTCACTTGAGCAGCATCCTCTTTGTGACTTTCTGCATTCAATACATAGAGCGCCCGTAACGCTCACACGCTCCTTCTCCTCGCAGTTATTAAACAACCCTGTGGGGTGAAGAGCAGCAGCATCACCCACTCATCTTTCTTTATGATCCACATTTCCAGCACAGGTAATTAGGTAGCCCCAGAGCTGCCACCTTCTAGAGCACCAGGGAGGCAGCAAGTGCCACCCGTGCTTGTTCTGCGTGACCCTGTGTGTGCCAGCGCATGCGCCCAGCTTGGTTCGAGGCACATCCTCTGGTAGGGTTTATTATAGATGAACACTGAAGTGCTCTTATCTCTTTGCCTCCCTCTATTCTTTCTCACCCTGCTTTGTTCAGAGGCCTTGAGGGAATTCATCAGCTTTTCATCAGGGGTGTCTTTAAGCACCTCAGTCTAAGAGCAGGTATGAACGAGGTGTTTGGGGTGCTCTGTTGATGTGGCAAGGGCAACACGTGAAAACATCTGCCTGTGTAAGCTAACACGATAGCCAGCAGCAGGCAGCTGCCCAGATGTGCCCTTGAAGCATCTTCGGCTCGTGTCTTGGTTCTTTTGTTCTTGCAGTTGCCTGAGCTGCTTTTAGAAGGAGAATTCACAATCCAAACCATTCCTTCTTTATTTATTTGGTAACAGGTTTGGTGGGGTGGTGTTTGGGGATGGATGGGGAGGGTGGCAGGGCACGTGTGTGCGTGTCTTGTGGGGGTTGAGCTGCATTGGGGTTGTAATTGCATTACTACAGGGAATCTAGTTAGGGGATGAAAGCAGTTTCACTTTCCTGGCAGGAAGGAAATCCGAGCACTTGAATCAGTGCAATATGCGATGTTCAGAGATGCTTCCTCCACTGATCTGATCCTCAAATCTGATCACGCCTCGAGTCGCAGTTGTTTTAATTAAACTCAGAGGAATTGTGCACATTGTGCTGCAAGATTAACATTTTTGTTTAATTAGAAACACTCAGTAATAATAGTTGTAGCAGGCCTCCCCCAACACACACACACGTGCACGCAGGCCCCCCGCCAGTCGAGAGGGTTATTCTCTCTGTGGATTAATTGGTTGATGAAATTAAAGGCCGGGGGTTTGAGCCAGGTGGAGCAGCAGCACCAGGGAGCAGGATGAAAGCAGGAATCAATAATGATGTCATCTGCAGCCAATGCGGCAGCAGCTCCACAGCTCCTTCACTGCACACCACCGCCTGGTTAAAGAGCAGGAGGAATTAAAAGCCTGCCTGGCTGGAAGCTGTGCAAAGGCAAAGCAAATCCCAGGCCCTTCTGTCCCCAGCTCACTCATGGAGGGGCTGGGGGTTTGCAGTACACGGGATCTACAGGGGCACGCACTGTTTGGAGGCTTCTATGATGCCTAAGCACAGGCTGGTGAACTGAGAGCTCAAAGGTTTGGTTCAGTCCCTGGTTAAAGCTGTTTATCATTTAGAATGCAATATCCTGGTTTAGAAGTGCTTCAGATGCACCAAAACAACGACATTTATTGTCCATACTGGATCTGTACTACTTTAACAGTTATAAAATGGTCCGTGGTTTTGTTGGTGGTCAGATTCCTTTGATATATGAGGAGAGGTGTGGTTAATACATTTCACTCTCCAGTGAGTCACAATAGCTCCTTTATAACACTCCAACAGTGGTCAGAGGAAGGAAACAATGCACATTTTTAAACACATAATTGGGGCATTTAAACCCTTTTCTTCTCTGCAGCAGCCATGCACTGCTAATAACAGTATTGGACAGGAGTTTCTTGGCCTCACGTATCAGAGCACCACAGAAACTTTTAGCTCTGCCTTCAAGATTTCATAGATTTGGAGAAGCCAAGTGTGAGGCACAACAGTGTGTAATAGCTCTTACCCAAAGCATGTGTGTTTGGAGCTTGTGTTAGAGCAGTGCTGGGGTCTGGCAGCTCTGCTTTGCTCTTAGAGAAGAAGCACCCACCGTAGCAAGGCCACTGGGTTTCTCTCTTCTTCCACCACTTCTGTGCTCAGCCATACCCAGTTTGGCTCCATTCCTTCTAACACCTAATGTGCCAGCAGTAGGAAACGAGCTCTAGTTGTGTTTGCAGTGGGCAGGGATGTGTCCCAACCAAGGCAAGGGTTTCCAGCCATCTCTGCCGCTGCTGTGAGAGCTCCTCTTGGTTTCACTGGGAGCTGGTGGTGATGTATGTTGCTTTCTTAAAAATCCTGCATTTTTTAAATCCTCTGTTATTTCCCCTCTGTTGCCTCACCTGCTTTGGGGGTGGATTCAATGCCACAGATTCCTTAGGCTGCGATTCCTCAATGTGCTTCATTTGAAATGACAGAGAATCCCTGTCAGGTCTCACCCTGGTGCCAGTATCCTCCCTCCAAGCTGGCCTCCTTCAAAGACTGATTTTCTGAGGGGGAAAAATAGCATGTTCCTGAGCAGTATCAGTCGGTGTAAGACAGCTCTTTTCCCCAGGAGTTAAGAGGTTGTGACAAAGATTATGGGGGAAGCAGTGGGGTTTTGTATTAGTTACCACAAATTAGGCAGCACGGGTTAGGATTGCCCTCCTCACCCTCATTAGTGAAAGCAAAGACAAGATTGAGAGGAAGCAGGAAGCTCAGTTGAGCCTGTCTTCTAGGTGCTGGTGCCACATCCCTCTTCTTCTAGGGCAGCAGCATCTGAATTAATATATCTAAAAATCACACCCTGTCTGACAGCACTTGGCTCAGTGGTGTTATGTGTGTCCTCTCTGGTAACTTCAGCTGGGTGATGTTTTCCTCTCCTTTCCAGCTTCCACTGTCTCTTTGACAGGCCTCCTCACACAGTCACTGTCATTATTTCTCTTGTGCAGCTTGTTTCGTACTGTGAGGTTTGGAGGGGGAAGATGAACCCCTCCTTTTAATGTGACTCTGCAGCCCAGGCTCTGTGGTGCAGGGGTCTTTGCCCTACGTGTGCACAGCTTCTGCTGTAAGAGCAGGTAAGTGCCAGTCACTTCCCTGACAGAGGGATTCAGTGCAAGACCTGGAGCAACTTTGATGTGATACTCCCATGCCCCAAAGGGGTTTAGAGTTTGCATTAAAATGTAGAATCTTCTTGCAGGACGTTAGATTAAATCACACAGAATGGATAAACTGGTGAATTTTACTGTAGAATGCATTGTCACAAACCATCTAGGGACCATTTACTGTTGCCTTGTTTTAACCTGCAGTGCCCAGAGTCCTGGGCAGCAAGTCTGCCTGATGCTTTCTTCAGCGTGTTGCATTGAGCAGCTCCATCAACTGCCCTGATTCCCAGTGTGTGTTTAACCACTCTTCCTTTGTTCTTTACCACCAGAGGACCAGTTACCTCCTGGTTTCCCAAACATTGATATGGGGCCCCAGCTGAAAGTGGTGGAGCGGACACGAACAGCCACGATGCTCTGTGCAGCCAGTGGGAACCCAGACCCAGAGATCACTTGGTTTAAAGATTTCCTGCCCGTGGACCCCAGCGCGAGCAATGGGAGAATAAAACAACTGAGATCAGGTAAGGTCTCTGTGTGAGACCAGAGGAACTGACACCTAGAGACACATGTGAAGAGACTGCTCAGAGGTTTCTGAAGCAGAAGAGAGAGCTGAGAGAAACAGGCATCACCAGTGGATTGGGGCATTACTTTCCTTTGGGTTTGGGACTCACGTTCTTACCCAGGAAGTGGCTGGAGTATTTTCTCCTCCAACCCATCTTTCTGGCCTTCCCTGCTGCCTGCCTGACATAAAGAGAATCACAGCAGGGAAGTTAGTTCCCATCCAGGAGACGCTGTAGCTCATTCCCTGGTTAACAGTGCTCTTGTTGCTCAGGGGAAACTGGGGACTGGATGTGGGCTGAGGGTTTCCTTCTCACACCAAGAACTGGGTAAGGAAGAACCAGCTGCTCTGGCAGACATGGCTCTTTGGGCTGCACGCACCTGGGGTAGGGTCCACAGCTCAGGCAGCCTCTTACTGTCAAAACATGAGCCTGTTGCTGTAAACTGGGCCTCTCAAAGCTGGCACTGAAGAACAGCTCTTGCAGGATCTCTCTGGCATCAAGTCCCTGCTGGAGAGCAGTTGTGAGCATTCTGGAGTGACCCTTGGTGCTCCATGGAGCAGATCTCCATGAACAGATGTACCCCAGCTCTGTGGCTCTTGTCAGTTTTCCATCTTCCCCATCTGCTTGTCCATCTGTCTCTCTTGTTTGTTTTATGTTTGTTGTTCTGTGTGTGTGTCAGTGACATCTCTTAATATTCACTTCTCAGGAGATGGTTTTATACTTGTTAAATCTGCCCATTCACTCTGCGTGTGTGTGAGAGTGTGTGTGTGCAAGGAGGGCATGGGTGTATTTAGTCTGGAATATTACTGAGAAAGCACTTCCATTCATAGCTGCAAAGATGAAACAAGCTTTGGAAGTTTGACCATTCCACAGAAACTAACCTGAGAAGGAATCCTTTTTAAATACTCCTTGGTCTGAGGGCTTTGGCCCAGCCTAAAGAAGATATGTCTCTGTGGGTTGGACCTCGCAAGCACTGGAGTCACTTCAGCTACTCAGAACATTCCTTTAGCAAAGAGAGGGAACATTTTCAAGAGTTCCTTGGCAGAAGCATGGCAAAGGGAGAGCAGAGGCTGTGGTGAAGCAAGTGGGGCTTCTCTGTTCATGTTAGACATGTTACAAGTCATCTGGTCAGGGGAGAGCCAATTGTTTCTGCCCAGACCTCTGCTAGCTCTGAAGAAACCTGTTCTGCCTACTCTGAACATCAGAGAGTGTCACCGTCTGGTTTTCCTCTTGCCCTGTTTGGCAAAGGTTCCATATAATGATTTTTAGTTCTGTGGGCCACCAGAGGAAAAGATTCACTGTCGTTCCAGTTCAGTTTTATACACCTGCACAATCACATCCTTACTCAATGAAGCAAACTTACAAGCAGATACTTAAACTGCTTTGTTGAATTGGGTTGCTGAATCCTGCAGACACAGATGAGGTTGACCTCCCTGTTTTATCCTAACAGCTGAGGCAAATGCAAATCAAACAAATCACTCAGCATAAATAATGAGAGGTAAACTGGCATTATATCATGCTCTGTGCCCATCATCTGAAGTGTGAGTAATGCACAAGCAGATTAGTTTTAATACATTCATCATCTTGCTAGAATGCCTTTCTCCTCTTTAACTGGGTTTGATCTGCTGTTTTCCTTCAAGCCACCCGAGTGCTGTGTTTTCATTCCAGTGCATTGGTTAGCCTCAGAGTGAACTCCTGGCCTTGCTGGTAAATCAGAAGATACCTGCTGAGAATTAAGCTCATTTACAGCTGCTTTGAATTAGTAAACTGGTGAAACCCTGAAGCATCTGTGTCAGCCTTAGGAGTGGAAGCCTGTTGCTTGTGTGAGTGGGAGTGCAGATTCCTGGACTTAGGAGTTCTCTGGTTTCATCTACTTTTAGGGCCTTTCAAAACTTGCCTGTGACAGTGCAAAACATTCACATTGGGGCCATCCGGGCTGCGTTAGTATTTTGGTCAGTGGAAAGTTGTTTCAAGACCAAGGCAGAGCAGCTTCAAGTGTGTGTGTCTGAGCTGAGTGTGATGGCCAAAGTGGTGCCTGGTTGGTGCTGCCGATGCGAGTCCTGCTGC